TAATATATCTATTATATATATATTATAATATCCGATAAAAGGAAGTAAAATGAAAAGAAAAAAGAGAAAAAAGTGTCTCGAACCATCGATTACACTGATCTCAAGTTCCCCATCCAGTTAGTCGATATCAACCTATATGACTGAATTTTGTGGTAAGGGTATTCACACCATCATGCCAGTTCTTAGTGTAATCGTCTACTACCTTTCTCGGCAAACATTGTACGCCGAGGCAAACTAATCAGTGGTGTGCGCAATAAGCCCTAAAATGCCTATGTGGTCGACCACTGGTCCCAGTGGACAATCGCGATAACCTAAAACTCTGTGCCTTACCCCAGCATTGCTTCTCTGATTGTGCCGCCAGACTCGTTCCATAATGCGCAGACAGCGGTGTTCAACCACTGATGATCTATCTTAATGCCCACGCTTCTGAGCAATATAGCAGAACTGGCCAGACTGCTGCAGCATACACTTAACCATTGACAAATAGCCGTATGTTGCGAAAACATCCGAGATATCTCCAGTTCACAAATGCCAGTCGAGCTTTCTGTAAGCGCCCCTACACTTTTGTTCTAAGGATGTAGCCCGAGGAATAAATTGTTTTTAAGTGACTCTAGTGAGAGGAGGAGATGTGTGTTTCATAACTTAATTTTGAAACAAAATGCGTTTTTATTATATTCTCTATTCATATGATGATTGCATTTTGAGGCATATTGCAATTCAAGCCCGGGTTTGGCTTGACCCGGTGACCGTTGGGAACTAGAATGTTGACGTATCTTAATATGAACCGCACAACTGAACATAGTTCTCATTATTGCCGAATATTGTGTCACATTCTGACTGTAATTCAATTACTGGAAGTAAAATGTGTCTAAAGTATTCAACATTATTCAACTTAAACGCCCTAACCATGGGTAACCTAAGAAGCCCATTTGGTTGGTAGTTTAGAGGCTGAATTAAAAAGTATCTAGTCAATTAGCATTGATAAAAGTCGATAAATGAGTGACACATATGCAAGGTTGATACATTGATCAGCGCCATATTGGTGTTTTATGAGTCCTACCCCAGGGTTCTAACAGGGTCTACAAGGCCTATAGCAATTATCCGGGTTGCATGACTTCGGATGAATCAGAAAAACATACTTTTGTCGCAGATTTACCCTAATGTTAAGCTTTCACTTTGTGATCACAGTCATAATAACTTGCTTCACTGGGTCAAATCCTTATTTTCATACTATTGGATGGTGGCAAAATGTCAGTGTAAATAGCATTTCTACGGAAAGTGCAGTAGCACAAATGGACCGCATATACTTTGATAAATCACTCGGCTTTCCACAACAGCCGCACTGTCTGTCGATAGTGACGCATTTTGATGGTTATAGGTATAGGTCATCTTCTACATTGATTAAATCAGATATTCGGAATTTTGTATCGAATTACCTTATGTGAGCTGTATCAACATCCCATAGAATTGAATTGCGTTTTCATTCGAACTCTTTAGCAAACCTTTCTCATTGTTCCATAGAAACCCTATGTACATATAAACTGGTTGGGGACGAACTTGAAATGCGTTGTGTAAATTAGGAAGCGCTTTTATTTAATTCCTTTGCATTTGACATTGTGTTCACATGAATAATATTTCAAGCTACAAGTATCGAATAACATACATTTTTTTCCTAGAACTCAAACCACCTAACAGAGAATTTTCAATGTAGGCAAATCTGAAAGACTTCTTAAGCTGTATTGATTATTTTATTTTCAGTACGCCTTCAATATTAGTGTCATACACTTCTAAAACATTATCAACCGACTTCGGCAGATCTCCAGCTTTTTGAATTATGAAAGTTTCTAGCTGCATCGATGCCGAAGAGGATGTGGATATCTTGACCACGCCACATCACTAACGGTTGTCTACCATTGATTGTGGCCTGCAGTCCTACTCCGTAATCGTGAGGAGGGAAATAATTATGACTGGTTCATTTGGGTTGGCATATTGCTTAACTCGTTCCATTTTGGAAGAAGTCTGAAAATGAACATAAACTTCAGGAGTTGGAGGTCATCTACTTGCTGCCAATTATAGAGAACCGTTGATTCTTTAAAAAGCATTGCAATCGTTTCGTTATATTTCTATGAATGTAACAAAAGACGCACTTTTAATCATATACTCACATACTCCGCTTCCAGAATCAGAGGGGTTCGGTAATTCGATTGATGCACTTCAACACGTTTTTGTGTGTAAACATCTGTTCATAAAAATAACCGCAATGTGTATGGCGAGAGTTTGAGTCATGTTCTGTTTGAATTGTGTTCAAAGGTTATTTNATATTGTGGTTGGTATGAGGAAAATCTTCTTCAGTCGTCCCGTTCCAATTTTCTTTTAGGAAATTGGAAACCTTATGGGACTACTTGAGGGAACGTTGTATTAATGTGGACGGCTTGTGGATTCAAATAAAGGATATCATCTTTAAAACGCTGGCCTCGGTGACTCACTCAATCTCGTTAATGGTTGAACAGAATTGTCGAAGGAGAACCTGTGCTCACGAACTATTCGGATTTGACATTCTGCTTGATGCAGATTTGAAACC